TCTTTTTTTTGTGGAATATGTTACATCTTCACAGAGTGATTTAAAACCTTAAAGGCCCAAAGATTAAAAACTGGTAGAGAAGTATTTGTACATGTGGTTATTTTAACTGCTTTAAGGAAGTTAACTTTTTTTTTTTTTTGTAGCTTTAGTTAGGCCTTTCTTTGATCTACCTGTATCATCAAAAGGTAAATCTTGATTTAGTTAGGAGGGGGCATAATTTAAAAGGCTAAAAGGGGGCCTCTGTATAGTTTGCTTTGATAATTTGATTATTTTCTTTTTTATCCAAATACTAATATTGTTATTTTCATATTTTAAAAATCCGTAAGAACGATTAGCTAGGGCATAGACTATTTCATTACCTATTCATTTTGGACCTTAGAGAAATGTACTTCAAAGACGAATGGGTTAAATAATATTCCTAATTTCCAATAAATGTAGCGATTGTGGTAATCTCTTATTTAATTCTATTTGTTGCCTTTTACTCTAATCATTTTTTCCCATTTTATTTTTTTTTTATTATTTTCCTTCTTTTTTGTTTATAAGCTGATGTTAGCTTTAATTGGTGGTTTTGTATTATATATTATTTTGTGTTGTGTGATGAAATTAGGTAGACATGGTACATATTGCTGAAAGGTTTCCTTGGAAGAAAATACGACCATGACTGGCATGAATACAAGTGGGTTATATAGTTGGGGGTCAATTTATGGAGCCTATAAAGGCTAAATGGGTTGCTTAACTGGTTCATAAGGTAAAATGATATCTATGAAAGTTATAACAACCGCCCTACAGTTTGTGAATTTTTTCGGTGATCATCCCTATTACAAAGAATTCTTATATAACATGGGAATGAAGGAGCATATGAACAATAATTAAAATATGGTCAAAGGACATTCCTTTTGGTAACAAAACAGTTGCACAAAACCACATTTCTGGTGCTAGTATTGATTAATTTCATATATTATGCTTCTGATATGGATATAAAGAATAGAAATAAGTATTTTTTTTGAGACAAAGTCTCTCTCTGTCGCCCAGGCTGGAGTGCAGTGGTGCGATCTCGGCTCACTGCAACCTCCACCTCCCAGATTCACGCCATTCTCCTGCCTCAGGCTCTGGAGTAGCTGGGACTACAGGTGCCCACCACTATGCCCAGCTAATTTTTTGTATTTTTAGTAGAGACCGGGTTTCGCTGTGTTAGCCATGATGGTCTCAATCTCTTGACCTCGTGATCTGCCGGCCTCCCAAAGTGCTGGGATTACAGGTGTGAGCCACCGCACCCAGCCCCATTTCTCTGTTTTCTATCTGAAGTGCTCCTGAATTAGTAGTAATTGTAACTGGTTTATTCCACATGTAACTCCTAGTATGCCAAGAAAATTAATCTAGCCTGATTATGGTATCATAAAACAAACACTTTATATAGAGTCATCCCTCGGTATGTGAGGGAGGTTGATTCCCTGAGAATCAACTGAGAACCCCTGAGAATATTGAAATCTGCACATACTCAAGTCCCACAGTTGACCCTCCAAAACACTCATAGATGAAAACTCAGTTTTAACAGATCATAGACTCTTGAAAATAAAATAAAAATATATTTTAAAAAGTCAGCCTTTCCTGTCTACAGGTTTTACATACCTTTTCTGTCCGCATTTGGTTGGAAAAAATCCACAAAGTGAACCGGTTCAGTTCGAGCCCATGTTGTTCAAGTGTCAGCTGCAGTTAGAAACCCGTTATATTGGCTGAGCGTGGTGGCTCACTCACGCCTGTAATCCCAGCACTTTAGGAGGCTGAGGCAGGTGGATGACAAGGTCAGGAGATCAAGACCATCCTGGCTAACGTGGTGAAACCCCGTCTCTACTAAAAATACAAAAAATTACCCGGGCACGGTCGCGGGCGCTTGAAGTCCCGGCTACTCAGGAGGTTGAGGCAGGAGAATGGTGTGAACCTGGGAGGCAGAGTTTGCAGTGAGCTGAGATCGTGCCACTGCACTCTAGCCTGGGCAACAGAGCGAGACTCCATTTCAAAAATGAAACCCTTTTCATTTTCATCTTAATTTCCAGATAGCTATTGGTCACAGTATGGTATTCATTACCTTACATAAATTTCTTTTTTTTTTTTTGAGATGGAGTCTTGCTCTGTCGCTCAGGCTGGAGTGCACTGACACGGTCTTGGCTCACTGCAAGCTCCACCTTCTGGGTTCATGTGATTCTCCTGCCTCAGCCTCCTGAGTATCTGGGATTACAGGTGTGTGCCACTACGCCCGGCTAATTTTTGTATTTTTAGTAGACACAGGGTTTCGCCATGTTGGTCAGGCTGATCTCGAACTCCTGACCTCGTGATCCACCCGCCTCGGCCTCCCAAAGTGCTGGGATTACAGGCGTGAGCCACCGTGCCCGGCCATAAATTTCAATTCCATCTTCCTTCTGAAGAGTTTCAAACACTTCACTTATTGTTTCAGTTAGGTTCATAATTCCTGTCAATAGAATGTGGATGATAGAAACAGTATGTAAAGAAGGCTGGGTACAGTGCCTTACACCTGTAATCCCAGGATTTTGGGAGGCTGAGGCAGGCGGATCTCCTGAGGTCAGGAGTTCAAGACCAGCCTGGCCAACATAGTGAATCCCCGTCTCTACTAACAATACAAAAATTAGCCGGGCATGGTGTCAGCTGCCTGTGATCTCAGCTACTCGGGAGGCTGAGGCGTGAGAATCACTTGAGCCCGGGAGGCAGAGATTGCAGTGAGCCAAGATTGCGCCACTGCACTCCAACCTGGGTGATGGAGTGAGACTACATCTCAGAAAAAAAAAGAAAAAAGAAAAAAAATGTTAAAGGGGTTATAACGCACGTCAAATCAAATATTCAGTCAGAAATTTGTGGTAGAATAATGACTATTGCTGAATGGAGATTTATAATGTCCTTTATAGTCACAGGGCTAAGCGTGGTGGCTCAGGCATGTAATCCCAGCACTTTGGGAGGCCAAGGTGGGCAGAACACTTGAGCTCAAGAGTTCGAAACCAGCCTGGCCAACATGGTGAAACCCTGTCTTTACTAAAAATGCAAAAATTAGCCAAGCATGGTAGCAGGCGCCTATAATCCCAGCTACTCAGGAGGCTGAGGCAGGAGAATCGCTTGAACCCAGGAGGCAGTTTGCAGTGAGCTGAGATTGCACCACTATACTCCAGCCTGGGCGACAGAGTGAGACTCCATCTCAAAAAAAAAAAATTAAAAAAAAAATATATATAAATAGAGACACACCATATATATATATAAAATAGTCCTTTTGTCTAGGGAACAGTCATGTGTTCCCTTATTGCGATGAAATAATGTTGATTTCATTTAGAGATGGGAAGTTTTTGTCATAGGTTGATTCCCCATAAAACTGTAAGACAGAGATAAAGTGGAAGAGGTTTATTAGGGAGTGCTTTTGGGATCATTTGTGGGAGGGAAGGGGAGGAAGGGAAGAATATAGGAGAAGGCATCTTGGGCTGTGATGCAGTCTCAGCTAAGGCCTCAGTCGACCCCATAGGGTATTCTGGAAGCTGGATGGCCCTTCAGTGCTGGGGTGGCAGCCCACTTGGGGTAGGAAATGGCCTTTAAATCTCCCTATTGTGACATTTCAGATGAAGTGATCCTTCTCAGCAGATATACTCCCAGAGAAAGATGGCAGCTAAGGGCCTTCTGTTGAGAGCTGTCTCAGCAAGTGGGGAAATAAGCTCTTCAATCCTGAAGGGAATGTGGGTGGTACATCCAGAACAGTCACTAAAATTTCAGGATTTGAATTCATATTTTCTTTCTTTTTTTTTTTATTTGAGATGGAGTCTCGCTCTGTTACCCAGGCTAGGGTGCAATGGTGCGATCTCGGCTCACTGTAATCTCCGCCTCCCAGGTTCAAGCAATTCTCCTGCCTCAGCCTCCTGAGTAGCTGGGATTACAGGTGTGCGCCACCATGCCCGGCTAATTTTTGTGTTTTTAGTAGAGATGAGGTTTCACCATGTTGGTCAGGCTGATCTCGAACTCCTGACTTCAGGTGATCTGCCCACCTTGGCCTCCCAAAATGCTGAGATTACAGGTGTGAGCCACCGTGCCTGGCCAGAATTCATATTTTCAAAGGAATGTACAGGCCGGGCACAGTGGCTCATGCCTGTAATCTAAGCACTTGAGAGGCTGAGGCAGGTGGATCACGAGGTCAGGAGTTCAAGACCAGCCTGGCCAAGATGATGCAACCCTGTGTCCACTAAAAATACAAAAATTAGCCAAGTGTGGTGGAGGCCACCTGTAATCCCAGCTACTTGGGAGGCTGAGGCAGAAAACTGCTTGAACCCGGGAGGCAGAGGTTGCAGTGAGCCGAGATGGCGCCACTACAATCCAGCCTGGGCAACAGAGCGAGACTCCATCTCAAAAAAAAAAAAAAAAAAAAAAATGTACTTAATTCTAAAGGCTGTTTTTTCTATTTATTTTATTGGAGCTAGAGACTTCTCTGACACGCCTTACTTTTCCAGGTGATTGGTCTTCATTATAATTTGTTATGTTGCTTGTTCTCTTTATTTGGCTACTGACAAAGATGAAGGTAAATAATAGTGGAGAATATTCATTGATTTTCAGAAAATAATTGTAGTTATATGCAATCCCTCTGATGTGGTGAGGCTTTGTTTCCCCACCCAAATCTCATCTTAAATTGTAATCCCCATAATCCCCACTGTCAAGGGAGAGACCAGGTGGAGGTAATCGAATCATGGGGGCAGTTTTCCCCTATGCTGTTCTCGTGATAGTGAGTGAGTTCTCATGAGATCTAATGGTTTTTAAGGGTCTCTTCCCCCTTTGCTTGGCACTTCTTCCTGCCACCTTGTGAAGAAGGTGTCTTGCTTCCCCTTTGTCTTCTGCCAGGATTGTCAGTTTCCTTAGGCCTTCCCAGTCATGCTGAACTGTGAGTCAATTCAACCTCTTTCCTTTATATTAGGTTGGTGCAAAAGTAATTGTGGTTCTTGGCATTGGAAGTAATAAACTACCCAGTCTTGGGTCATTCTTTATAGCCGTATGAAAACAGACTAATACACCCTCCCTTTTTAATTACGCCCTACACACCTACATCCCTTATACTATTCATACCTCTTTTGGCACTTCCTAGTTTTATGCTATAGACATTAGGTTACATTATTTTATCTACAGCTCACCAAAATATTAGCTCCTCAAACAAAAATCTTACATCTCATATTTTTAGCCTCCAAAGCACCTTCCACATACTTTGCACATTACCCACCACCTCATACACAAACTTCTTCACATGCTCAGCATCCTGGGCCAGTTTCTCCTATGCTTTGACATGCCTCATCTGCAGACAAACATAAAAAATACAGAACTTATTGAGAGAGTTAATGCCCAAATGGAGTTTTTTCCAAGTCTCTTTTAGTAAATATATATTAAAGAATTTACTCAGTTAATGGGAGCAATCCCAAGTTAGCGCTCAATTAATATGTGCTGAGTTGGATTTAAGTAAATAAAACCAGTAGTTGACTTTGAAACTAACAAAACATTTTTCTTGATCTCTTTTTAGAGTTTATCATGGCTTCCAGTAACACTGTGTTGATGCGGTTGGTAGCCTCAGCATATTCTATTGCTCAAAAGGCAGGAATGATAGTCAGACGTGTTATTGCTGAAGGAGACCTGGGTATCGTGGAGAAGGTACTCAAACTCTCATATCATTTCATACCAACTTTATTTTTGTTCTTGAGGTTGAGCTAAATGATGTAAAAATGTGGACAGACTTTATCAGTGAAAATAATTGATGGCTCCCTTAGGGAGACTACAAGACCCTTGTTCAAAAGGGTTCGATCTCTGCTTTGAAAATGACTCCAAAGCTGGGTATGGTGGCTCACGCCTGTAATCCCAGTAGTTTGGGAGACCCAGGAAGGTGGATGACGAGATCAGGAGTTTGAGACCAGCCTGGCTAAAATGGTGAAATCCCATCTCTACTAAAGATACAAAAAATTAGCCAGATGTGGTTGCGAGCGCCTGTAATCCCAGCTACTTGGGAGGCTGAGGCAGGAGAATCGCTTGAACCCGGGAGGCAGAGGTTGCAGTGAGCCGAGATCA